AGGCCGCTGGGAAGACACAGCGAGGCGAAGAGACCACATAAGGGCACGAAACCGCAAGGCACGCGACGTCCAAAACAGTTGTTGTATGAGAAATAGAAAAACAACGCGTCGAAAGAGCAGGGCGAACAGGCGAAGTAGGACGAGAGCTCGGGGGTGCGGAGGCCTTCAAACCGCGGCGCGCGTATCAGGTCCCACACGAGCCAAGGGCACTACAGCTACGCAGGGCGCAGCAGTTACGTGTACTCGCTGTGGTGAAATCCCGGTAGCGGTGTTCTGCTGGCACGATTCAAGATCGTCAAAACACAACAATCACGTTGATTCGTGGCGTTGGGTCCCGCGAATGGTGTATTGGCACGTATCAAAATCTTCAAACGGTTGCCTTCCAACGGAGCAACTCCTTCAGTAGAAAAGAATTATTGCAGGGGCTTTTTTAATAAAGAATACACCTTGAAGGAGGGTTTATTCCAACATCGTTGATGACTCGTGGGATTACACTGGTCCTCGTCCTCCTCCTCCTCTCCTCGTTTTCCTCCACCTCCAATCCTTTTCCTTCGAAGTAACTTTTCCGCGTCGGACCCCGAGGCCGGTCGATAGGGCGGCCGGGCTTTTCGCCTTAGATTTCCATACAACTAAGGACCTTGAAGCTTTAAACATTGGCAACCGTGTCGCACATTCAAAACGAAGGGGTACAAAATGCCAATCTCGCCTAAGCGCCGCGCGCAATCGTTGCAACAAACTGCAAGAGCTTCACGGATTGAGGCGGGCGGTTTTCACAATGTAGCTCTCGCCTTAGCGCCGCGCACATTCCTTCCTGCTGAACTTGAAAGAATTTCACGGATTGAAGGCGGTTGGTTTTCAAAATGCGGTTCTCGCCTTAGTGCTGGAACACTCGTTTTTTGATAAATGTGCAAGCACTTCATGGATTGAGGGCGGCGGGTTTTCAAAATGCGGTTCTCGTTTTGGTGCCGCGCGTACTCGTTTTACGCGTTTGCAGAAAGTTTCACATATTCCCATGGTCAACGTACCAGAAAGTATGTGCTGGAAAGACTCGGGATTGCAAGGGTGCAACAGTTACGTTGGTTCGCGGTATCGAAATCCCCAACAATTGTGTTTTAGCGCGGTTCAAGATCGTCAAAACGCAACCGTCCGGATGATCCGTGGCGTTGGAATCCCGAGAACTGTTGTCTCACAACGAGGCAAGCTTCCTCTGCGGAAATGAACCACAGTAGGGACCTACGGAGAGGGAGCTTGGAGGGAGGGATTATTCCAACATCGTTGATGAGCCATGGGATTGCAAAGGTCCTCCCCCTCATCCCCCTCCTCCCCCTCCTCCTCCTCCATCCCCCTCTCCCCTCCCGCTCCTCCTCCCTCCTCCTCATCCTCCTCACTGCCTTCCTCCTCCTTCTCTCCTCCTCCTCCCCTCTCTTCCTCCTCCTCCTCCTCCTCTCCCTCCTCCTCCCTCCTCCTCCTCCTCCTCCTCCTCCTCCTCCTCTCCTCCTTCCCTCCTCCTCCTCCTCCTCCTCCTCCTCCTCCTCCTCCTCCTCCTCCTCCTCCTCCTCCTCCTCCTCCTTCCTCCTCCGCCTCCTCCTCCTCCTCCTCCTCCTTCCTCCTCCTCCTCCCTCCTGCCCTCCTCCTCCTCCTCCTCCTCCTCCCCCATCCTCTCCTCCTCCTCTCCTCCTCCTTCTCCTCCTCCTTCCCTCCTTTTTTTTTCCTCGTCCTCCTCCGTCCTCCTCCTCCTCCTCCTCCTCCTCCTCCTCCTCCTTCCTCCTCCTCCTCCTCCTCCTCGCTCCGCCTCCTCCTCCTCACTCCTCCTCCTTCCCCTCCTCCTCCTCCTCCTCCTCCCTCCTCCTCCTCCTCCTCCTCCTCCTCCTCCTCCTCCTCTTCCTCCTCCTCCTCCTCTCCTCCTCCTCCTCCTCCTCCTCCTCCTCCTCCTCCTCATCCTCCTCGTCCTCCTCCCCCCCCTTCCTCCTCCACCCCCCTCCTCCTACACGGCTGCCTGCGCAGGAGCCCCCTTTCCCAAGGAATTGGGAGGCAGGCGATTCTCGCGCGCAGAATTTGCATCGCGTATCTATTCTACAAGCGACCCCCCCTTGCGGGGCGGACTGCAAGTCCCTCGAGGCGTCCAGGTCGCCCAGGAACAGCCCGTCCTTCACCTTCAGGCCGGGCCCCGCCATCGGCCTTGAGGGGGGCAGGAGGAGTTGGCGGAAGGGCGAGGAGGAAGGGGGGGGGCGAGACGAGGGAGGCGATGAGGGGGAGGAACGGGAGCAGAGGGAACAGCTGCGGAGGAGGGGGGGGAGAGCTGGGGCTGGGGGAGAGTGAAGGGAGCAGGTGGAAGAAGGGCAACGATAGGGGGGCGAGAAGGAGAAATTGAAGCAGCGGCGAGGGAGGGGGCGGGCGGGCGGGCGGGAGGAGGCAGCGGAAGAGGAGGAGGAGGAGGAGGAGGAGGAGGAGGAGGAGGAGGAGGAGGAGGAGGCGGGGGAGGAGGAGCGAACATAGCTGACGGCCACATTCGTCTGCTAGGCAAGCCACCCCGCGGCGCGCGGGCCAGGCCTCCGCCCAGGCTAGCGGGGGGGCGGGAGGCGCGGCGGGCGGCGGCGGTGGCGCTGTAGAACCCGCTCGGTTCCGTGACGATGGAGTCCTTCATGAGGCGGTACTCGCGGGTGGCCGAGCTGGCGACCCCGTTCTCGCCGTCGCGGGGCGTCTGGAGGTCAGGGGGGCCATGCGCGCCAGGGCGATCTCGCTCAGCTGGCCGCGGCGGCGCGCAATGGAGTGGATCATCTCTGGGCCTGGAGGTAGTGCTGGATGGAGTCCGGGCGGTCACATCCGCGCGTGCACTGGCGCCTCTGCGGGTTCACGCGCACGCGGTCCGAGGTCGCCCATGCACCCGCAAGGGCTTTGAGCATAGCCCATGTCCTCGCAGGAGGCTGGGCCGCCAGGAACTTGCAGAGGCGGGCCCAGCGCTCAGCCAGGTCCGCGGGGATCTCGCGCATCTGGACCAAGTCTGGCTCAGCAGGCTCCGCTTCTTCGTCGCGTTCGTCGCCCCCGCGTGAGAGCTGCGGATCGGACACGGCTGGGAAAAGGTCGCGCTGGCCGCGCGCCCAGCGGCGGCGGGCGCGATGCTCGGCGCCGGCGAAGCGGCGGAGAGCACTCTCACGGCGAACGCTTTCGGGGTCGCCGCTCATGTCGCCGAGGAGCGCAAGTTCCAGGCGGCTGCGCGCCACGTTGGACGTCGCCCAAGCATTCTCGCAGACCTCGACAATGAGGCTACGGCGTTTGCGCCCGCGTGCGGAACAGCAGCAGAAACATGTCGGTGCAGAGCCCGTGGTAGACGCACTCCACGCTCCCGCTCCAGGAGCCCCAATCATTTTTGTCATCGATGTTGCGGTCCAGCACGGGGACGTCTGGGATCCGTGAGCCTGCCCGGTGCGCGGCGCGGTTTGGGAGCCGCCCGCGCGCAGTTTGCGCGCGCTGAACCGCCGGATCCCCGCGGCTTTTTTTTGAGCTCCACGCTCTGTCCGCCACGTTTAGCGAGGCACCCTACGGCGGGGGGAGGCTGGAGAAACCACGCTTGGAGGCGCTTCTTGATCGCGACTGCGGAGCGCGTCAGGGCGGGAGGCGCCCGCGCAGGGCCCACAGATGCGCCTTCTGCGGCGAGCGCCTTCTGGCGCGGAGCCTCGCCAGGCTGCGCGCGTCCCTGCAGAGGGGCAGCAGGGCCGCGGCGAGCAGCGTGCTTGCGAGCAGCAGCGAGGGCGCCAGCAGCGCGCTGGGGCGAGCCCAGCGATCGGACGAGGCGCCTGAAGCGCGAGCCCGCAGTCTCGACAGAGAAGGTCGAGTTGGCGATGACCGCGAGGCGCCGCACGATGGAGATCGGGTCGGCCCAGCAGTCGGCGCGCCAGCGACCGCTTTCGACGGCGACCATGCCGAGGCGATCGCAGGCCGAGCCGCGCAGAGAGTTGGACCTTAGGTTCCATCCCTTGATTGTTTGGTTGGCGGCTCTCCAGAGCGCAGCGGAGAGCAGTAGCTCGATGTCGTTGAGAATATCGATGTTGGCCCGGGGGCCCATGCCGAATGTGTCGGAATTGGCGAAGGTGCTGGGCGCGACGCGGAGTAGCTTGTGGGGGAGGAGGAGGAGGAGGAGGAGGAGGAGGAGGAGGAGGAGGAGGAGGAGGAGGAGGAGGAGGAATAGAGGGGGGGACGGAGGAAAGGGAGCAGTGGAGGGGGGCGCGCAGGGAGCAGGGGGAGGCAACGATAGGGGGAGACTTGGCCCATGGGGGGTCACATCGGCCTGGAATCGGCAATACACCGCCAATCGGTAGACGAGTTGCCCCCGATAACGAAACCGCACTCCTGGGCGGGTTGGGGCTATCGTGCCCCTAACGGCGATCAATGGGCGATTGGGGGTCCATGCATCCCCCCCTTTGCCTTTCCCAACCCAACTATCGCCCGCGAAAGAAAGGGAGGAGGAGAGGCGAGGTCCAGGGCCGTCGCCGCCGTGAGCCGGAGCCGCGGGGGGCTGGGGTCGAAGCCGGGACCAGGGCCAGAACCGGGCCGGAGCCCGGCTCGGGGCCGCGACCGGGTCTGGTGCTCGGACCTGCGCCGCGCCCAAGGTTGCGGCTGGGACCGGGGCTGGGAGAGCTCGTGGCGCAGCTCGGGCTTATCTGCTGTTCTGTATTGTTCGTCAAGAGTCGGCCTGTAGGAGGAGGGGCGGGGAGGAGGAAGGGGAGCAGTGGGCGGGGATCCATGCTCAGGAAGATTCGAAGTTATGGCAGCGAGGGTCACGAGGTGAGCCCTCCGAACTGGCAGCACGGTGAAGCATCGCACGAGGGCCACCCGCGCCAGTCGCTGCCCAGGAGAGTTGTTCCCTCGAGCGTTGGGGGGCTCGGAGCCCTCGGCGGTGCGCGTTGAGTCGGGCGTGCGGCTTCTCGGGCACCACGCGGAGGAGGGCCCGAGTGGTACGGGCGTCTACCTGGACGGATGCGGATGGGATTGTGCTCGCCTTCAGGCGCAAGGGGTGGTGCATGCCTTCGCTGGCTGCCGATGGTCGGCCGCGCACGATGTTGCCCCAAGTGCCGCAGAAGGGGAGGAGGAGGAGGAGGAGGAGGAGGAGGAGGAGGAGGAGGAGGAGGAGGAGGAGGAGGAGGAGGAGGAGGAGAGGGAGGAGGAGGGAGAGGAGGAGGAGGAGAGAGGAGGAGGAGGAGTGAGAGGAGAGGAGAGGAGGAGGAGTAGGAGAGGAGGAGAGGAGGAGGGAGAGGAGGGGAGGAGGGAGGGAGAGGAGAGGGAGGAGGGAGGGAGGAGGAGGAGGGAGGGAGGGAGGGAGGGGAGGAGGGAGGAGGGGGAGGGGGAGGAGGAGGAGGAGGAGGGAGGATGAGGGAGGAGGAGGAGGAGAGGAGGAGGAGGAGGAGGAGGAGGAGGAGGAGGGCGGCTGAAGGGGGAAAAACGGGGGGCGAGGAGGAAGGGGGAGGGGCGGGAACCACATTGCATGATGGCGCACGCTCAGCAAGGCGTCACAAGTATGGAATAACAGTTCGGCAGCTTCCACACCGGTCCCTGCGCCAAGTTCGCTGGCCATGTCTCCTGTATGCCAGCGCCACGCGTCGCCGACCCTGTGGGAGGTCAAGTGCGAGTCGGTCGGCGGATGCCGACCGTCGGCTTGAGGAGAGAGGGCTGGCGGAGCACAAGCTTGTCAGTATCGAGGTAGATCAGACCCTTCTCAATGCTTCGCGCCTTGGGGTCGCCTGCCACAGGTAAAGGGCCCCCAATGCGAAAAAGGTGACGGACTTTCGCCTCCCCTGCAATGCCACAGGGCCCCACTGCACAAAAGGCCATCAAAAGGATGGCCGAGGAGGTAATTCCTGGGGCTTTAGCGGAGGTTCCCGCCAGACTGAGTTTCCTGTGATCACTCCAGACGGGGGTCCTACAGAGAAGGAGGAGGAGGAAGAGGAAGAGGAGGGGGCCCGAGGAGGGGGGAGGAGGGGAGGGGAGAGGGGGGAGGCATGGGGGGGAGGAGGAAGTCAGGGAGGGGGACACGAATCCTTCGCTCGTGGACGTGGAAGGCCCAGGAACTCTCATTGACATCGGGTATTGAAATCGTCGGCCGGACTGTCAGCAAACCCCTTCCCCCCGACTTCGGCCTGGACCGGCGGCCATGGAACGATCTGGCTGCCTCCACTGCTTGAGAAGGATACGGCGGTGGTTCGGAAAGACTGAAGCTCCAAGGCAGGGGGGCAGAGAGAGAGAGGCAGAGGCAGACAGACAGGCAGACAGACAGGCAGACCGACAGACGGACAGGCAGAGAGTCGGGGAGGCCCATACGTCCCCCATGGGGGCGAAGACGCGGGATGCGACAACTGGGAAGGGGGGGCACACAGGACGGCAACCAAGACCGTAGAGACCGAGAGGAGGAATAGGAGGACGATGACGATGGGAACGAGGAGAAGGACGACGACGAGGACATGGGGCGACGACGATGGGAATGCGGAGGGAGTCTGGGCTTGGCGCTGGGCAGGTAGAGAGTCGGACAAAGTGAATGGGAAGGACTCGTGCCAGTGATAAGACGTCCCAGGACAAGAGGGCTGAGGGCACGTGACTCCGAGCAACCATGCCGCCTGACTCCGCACCCCGCGATGCGCGCGACGCGCTTCATCACCCTCCGCGCCCCCGCGAGGCCACTCTACCGCGACTCTCTTCGCGTGGGGTGGGACGGAAGGGCAGGATGGTAAAGGACAGGGCAGAGAATCAGCTCACCCAGCTGGTTTTCCTGGGGCCTCCTGGCGCCAGGGGGCGCCCATGTATCGAGGAGTGGGCCCTGCGGCGGGGCGGAAACCGGCTGCATGCAGCGGATCTCGAACCACCCCCGTTCCCTGTCCTACCCTTGCGTCCGGCCCGATTCGCGCCCCAGGGAAGGATGTGCCAACATCAAATCGAGACCTAGGGCTGACACGAACGTCGTTTTGAACATATTCCCTTAAACTGAGCAGCCGTGGACAAGGCCCTTGGGGGCTTTGGAGTTCGCGATCACATGGTTCCGAGTCGTTAATGAACAAGTTGCGAATATCCGACCACGAACATGCTTTCACCCTTCCGAACACACCATGGGGCACGCCCAAAAAGACATCAGATCGAATCGGAATGTGCGTCGGACTGGGCCGCATCGGCACGGAGTCGAAATCGGATCGGATCGGCTGCACCAGGACGCACGACAGCGCCATGCAGGAATCTGGCCGCACCGGATCGCCGGAACATGAGAACCAGGCTCGAGCCCGCCGAAATCGATATCGAAAAGGACCGATCGGATCGACATGGACCGTGCGGGGGCGGGGTCCAGGAGCAGATGCCTCTCGGCGGCGCGCCCATGGGGGAAGGCGGAGTGGGGCCGGCCTTCTCAGAAGGCGGCGGGGCTTCTCAGAAGCCCACCCGCCTTCTGAGAAGCCCCCTGCGGCTTTGGAGGAGGCTCGCGACGAAGCCTCCTGGAGTGTTGGAGGGCTTCCGAGAAGCCCCGCCGCCTGAGAAGGCCGGCCCCCTTTGCCCGACCCCCTGGGCGCGCCGACGAGCCCCAGGGTACCCCCAGCCGTGGGAGGGAAGCACATCTCCAAATCCGCGGCCTGGCAGGCCGGGCATGGACACGATACAGTCTGGGTACAATGGATAAGGCGCCCCTCGATCGGGAGTCCAGGGTCCAGAATTTGAAAACCTGGTGATTGGTGTTTGCGAAATTCTCATGGAATGGCCCACCCATCTGGAGATTGGTGGGCCGCTTTTTCCAGACCCGCTCGATCAAGAAAGCTGACGTGCCAGGCCCAAAACATACCCCTACGTGGGAGGGCACCAGCTGGTGGCACCCCAATCGAGGCCCGGCCATGAGATCTCACCGCCGCCCTCATCAGGCAGGGAACTCCCCAGGGTCTGAAGCCGGCCCGGCCACACTCCCTCACGAACGCCCCCACCGCACGCGAGGGCATGGCCGCGCATGCCCTCGCCGCTCCTGGCCCTGGACCCGCGCCCGCGCGGGCGTGGCAGCGGTGCGCGGCCGCCTCCCCGGCGGTGGCTGCGGCCACCGCGGCCGTGGGGCGGCCAGCGCCAGCGGCCGCCCGCCGCAACGGGGCGCCCACCGCTCCTCGCTCGCCCCACGCGCGTGTGCCGGTGCCTGCCGCCCGCCACGCCGCACCCACGCGGCGCCCACGGCCCGGCCACCGCCCACCGCCCAGCCCGCACCCACCGCCCGTCCACCGTTCACCCCCCGCGGCAGCGCCGCCCGCCCCTTCCGGCCACGCCTGCCGGCCCACGGGCCCATCACACCACCCTGCGTTCACCCTCGTGCCTCCTCCGTCCTCCCGCCCTCGCCCCTTCCCTCCCTCCCTTCCCCCCGTCCCATCCCCAAAGGCCCGAGATCGCCGAAGAGGGTGCTCCGAGACCTCCCAAGGAACCTAGAGGTAGTCCATAGAATGGGCACCAAGATGCTTCCACCTCGACAGCGCCAACTCCACGAATCCATTGGTTGGGGATGGGTTGTGGCAAGGGGCGAAGATGCGAAAGTACTTACGATGTGGGCCAAATGGGGCTCGAACGTATTCATGGTCTCCGCCATGGAGGACACGAAGTTCAGGGCGGGAACAGCCAGCACCGAATCGAGAAATCGGATCGGAACGTGAACGTGAACCGGATCGGGCCACAGCGGCACGGAGCCGGAATCGAGTCAAAGCAGCCGCGCCAGGATGCATAACAACGCCATGCAAGCATCGGGCCGCATCGGGCCGTGGGAACATGGGAATCCGATCGGATCTAGCCGACCAGAAATCGCATCGAACCGATCGGATCGAGATGGACCCTGTAGGGTGGTTGGGAACTTGATGCCCCGCACATGCGGCGTAGCGTTGTGGACGCCACGACAATGGACACCCTAACAGTCCTATCATTGAATTACACATGTGTTTAACGTGTGTAAGACATGTTCTCAACATGTATTAAACCTGTGCTTAAACGTGTTTAACACATGTTGTGGGCGTCTGGAAATTGTTTGGCAGCACGCTTTCTCTCCATTAATCGTCCTCCACAAGCGTAGCGGCA